ACACAAAAGAGCTCAAAACATCAAAATAAGAAAATACAGTAAATCAAATAAAGGTTTACTGTTATTTAGTTTGGTTCAAAACCTACAAAATATTCATTGCTTTTACTGTAATTTTTTTTATTATTATTATTTAGGGAGCATTATAAATAGTTGTGTTTTTACAAGAAAAAGAAACTACTATTGTTATAAATAACACATTCAATTGAACTAAACTATGCATGCCTGTTTAAATTCACTATGTATATTTACACATGGCTTGTGTATATCGTATATATACATATATATATTATTCATACCTTCGGTGTATAGGATGCAAGCAGATTTTGATATCAAATTTTGGGGTAAAAAAGTGCGTCTTATACACCGAAAAATACTGTATTTACAGAAAAATTTATAATCAACCTGATAATGAATATAGCTAATTAAATATACTGTTTTTACATTCTAACTAATAAAGATTAGAATGCATTTTTTCATCAGTTTGCTGTTGATGATTTTTTTTGGCTGGAAGCCTGAATAACCTGTCAAATTTCAACTCACTGTTGAAATTTACCATTAACACTGCTGGTACTATAGTCAAGGATTTAATAAAATATCTGAAATACAGATATAACTCATTTAGTGCATCATTAGTTACACATTTGATTCTGAGAACATTCGATTGATATACATGGTAAGTTTGTTGTATCTGTAATTAGGTATTTATGGGTACCACTATTAATTTGATTCTTAGAATATTCGATTGATATACGTGGTAAGTTTGTTGTATCTGTAATTAGGTATTTATGGGTACCACTATTAATTTGATTCTGAGAATATTCGATTGATATACGTGGTAAGTTTGTTGTATCTGTAATTAGGTATTTATGGGTACCACTATTAATTTGATTCTGAGAAGATATATAATAAGCAAGTTACATTTACAACCCATTAAAATAAACTAACTAAACAAACACTTCTAATCATTTAAAGATACATAATATGAAGATATATAATAAGGAAGTTACAACCCATTAAACCCTTCAAACACAGAATTAATACTGGTTGACAACAATCATTTTCTGCCTTAATTTTTAATAAATTGATATAATAATTTCTCTCTTTCAATACTTTTTAAAGCTATTTCTATAGTATAATACACACAGTACAGTCAGCTTAGTTGTATTAATAGCAAACAGAGGGTATATCTATCAATTTTTAAACCCTTCTGTTGGTGGAAAAACAAGTAATAATAAATAATGATTGCATTTTCTTTTAGCCAATAGAAATAATCTGCATTAAATTAATAGTAGTCCCATAAATACCTAATTACAGATACAACAAACTTACCACGTATATCAATCAAATGTTCATATTATGTATCTTTAAATGATTAGACGTGTTTGTTTAGTTAGTTTATTTTATGTTACAGGTTAGGTCAAGGTTGTCTATCTATTAACCAATGAGGGAGTTCTCCTTAAAGTAATGAAAACACTAGAGGACCAGTTGTTTCTTAACTTTTAGTGTAAATTTGGTCATTACATTAATGTAAAAAAAATTCACACTGTAATATTGATTTTTCAGTTTGTGGATGCAATGTTGGTTTTAATAGTATAAAGTTATGTTGGGGAAACCAATTCAACAACAGCGGGTTAGATGAAGCCTGAATATTTTTATTTGATTTTAGTGATAGTTATGAGATGTAAAATTCTTAAAATAATTTAGATTTTTTTTTTTGTGTGTGTGTGTGAATCATGGAAAGCAAAATGATACTCCATCAAGTACATTTTAAGGTTTATAATTTCTATGTTATGAAAACAAAATTCCAGATATGTCTTGTTGTTTATTACGATAAAGCAAACTTGTTAAATTATATCAATATAAGAAAAGCCACTCTTTGTTCGGAATGCTCCCTTTGTTGGTAACATTCATATTGGCTCAGTGGTTTGTTTCAAACAGAAGTCTAGAGTTCAAATCCCAGTCATTTGGGGGATTTTTTATAACTTTTTAATTATTAGCTCTTGTTTATAGAAAGGTATTACAGTATTTAATAACATGATACTTTATATTTGGGATTTGAATCATTCGTTAACATTTGATTATGAAGACTGAGTATCACAGTGGTTATAGTGGCCAATTATCACGTGGAGTTCAAATCCTAGTTTAGTTGTGATTTTATGTTAATTTCTTCTATTGTTATATTTATTTCTTTATATATTTATCTTGATATTTACAAGAAGATCTTTGAATATTTGGAAAAATACAATTATAAATTAAGTTGGGACAGTGTCATATTACATAATAAATGTGAATGACTATATGTATTAACTTCATGATGTCAGAAAAATGCATAGGTTCAAGAAGGCTTAATATAAAATGATAAAAACCTTAAAACCCAAATGCTTTCAAATAGTTCACTTTTTGAAAGTACTTCTTGAACCTACATGGATCTTTTGAAAGCACTCAGGTTATAAGTTTTTTTTTCCTTTTTTATGTGTTAAAAACAACTTGAATATCTTTTCAACACAATAGATGGCGCTACAGTACATTATCAATGTTTTTTTCATCTTCAGTAACAGGTTTTTAAAACATTTATTAGAAATGTTAATGAAAAGGTATCCTGTCGTTAATTTGCCCTTCATCATAAAATTCATTGCTTTTGCTATCACAACTAATAAATTATAGTGTCATACATTTGGCAACATGGGAATCTTTCTTCAAGAACCAATTTTTTCTCATGGTTCAATCTATAAAGCTTTTATCAAGAAGAAGATTTGAACATAACATAAAAATATACATATGTCAGAATTATAATCAAAAGATGACCAAATATACACACAACATGTTATTAAATTTAGTTTTCAGAATAAGAATTATTTAGCATTTACTATCATATCATGAGATTCTACTGGGCTAATATAATAGTTTTAACTTTAAGCATAATTGTAGTTAATAAATAAATGTTAATATCATGTATGACAGTAATTAACCAGATATACTAGTTTTGTCAGTGCCATAAAAAAGGCTAATTCCTTCCACTATTTTGACTATAAGAAAAGTGTAACGTGACAAATCCATTAATGCCTGGGAGTCAATTCTCGTCTAAAACCAGGTCATTGGTTAGTATGTCTGTTTGTCAACATAAAATTGCACCCACCACATTGGGTCCATTTGTGCTTTATAAGCATAACATTAACATCCCACTTTGATCTGACAAGAGTAGCCCAAGTGTTAGCAGTGGATGGTGTTTAATAGCTATCAACCTTCCCTATAGTCTGTCACTTTGAAATTATTTTGGGCTATCACAGTTAACCATCATGTAGTTTTGTGTAAAATTCAACAAACAAACAAACTACTGAAACTAGAACTTGTTCATTTGAACTTTAGAAGTAGAATGTCTCTAAGCCAGTTTAAAGTTCAAAGATTGAGATGACCATTTCTTCATACAGGATATACTGTGTATCTGTCCTCCAGAAAACCACCAATTAGCTGTCCATCACTCTGATTAATTGTCATTAGTGTAGCATAGCAGTCGTATATTGTTTTACCTATCTATAGTATAAATATCTCATGGGCCTTACGTTAAGGTATTGGTCTCATATGATTTTGAAGACAAAGATTTTTGTTTCAAACTTGTATGCACAAGAAGTAGATAGTTTGTTGTCGTTTTGAGTTTAAATTTTGATTCCTGTAAAGAACAGGCTTAAATTCAAGAACTGTAATTTTTTTTTTTTAATAGTTAGCTCTTAGTTTCAAATACACTTTTTTTTCAGTGGGTGCAGGAAGGCTCTCCAACTCACAGCACATCAGTAAAAATTGATAACACTCACCAGTTTCTCCCTAAGAACACTGGTGATCCAAAAGAGTTCAAACGAAAGCAAAAAGAGGTGAGATAATTAATTTTTTATAATCTTTGGTGCTTGTGTAGAAGTCAAATAATAAGTTACAGTAGTGTTTAAGTGTAATTCTTCTCTTTTATAGTGCTTCCATTGTTTAAATCTATACTTATAAAAGTAAAAAGTTTGTTTATTTGGCCACAAATTACTCCATGATCTTTGAACCAGTCTCAAACAAACTTGATAGGAGGACACAATGGACCAAGGGATATGTCATAGAGTGATTATTACCTGCCCTGAGCCACACACGTTTGTTTAGCTAATGACTCCACAGTCTTGGACCTATTTTTGTTTCTAAAATTTTTTACTTTGATTTTTTTTTGAAATATTTTTTGAGTTTGTGATTAAAAATGTCCGGAATAATGCCATTTTTGCCAGGAATAATGGCAACCAGGGCACAATGTCAGATCTTTAAAGTGGCTACACCTGAAAATCCCTTGCTTTTCACATTCTTAATTCTATGTTGGGTGTTCAAGAGTAGGATCACCAAGAAATCTCGCTATTTTTACCCAGGAAGGCGGAGGAACTTCTAATGTGGTTTATCAAGAACACATTCAATCCTTATGTTCCTTGTGTCTGTCTCTTGATGTAAGACAGGTGCCTCAGTTTGTCAAACAATAAATTACAGCAGTGGTTAAGTATAAAATGTAAGAAAACTATTATTTAAATGTTAATTAAATTTAGATAACATTGTATATAGTGGCATAAAAGTACTGCTTAAGTACAAGTAATTAAATAAAAGTATTTAAGTGTAAGTAACAAAAGTTTGAAGAAATATATCTTTATCCCTTCTCTAGCAGGGGTGGGGTACAATACTGTGCATAAATCAGAGACCACTTAATCATCACAATGTATTTTTGATTCAAAACATGCTGAGTTCATAATATCCGAATCAAAACAAATTTAGAGTTTATTTCTTTAATGTTTTATGCAATCACCTAATTGAAATCACTGCCTAAACTGATGGGGAATGCTTTCTTCAAGCTTTTGGAGAAAGTAGAAATTGAATTCCAGACAGCTAGAAGTATTGCCCAGAGTTCCTTCTTTGATTTTGGGTGTTTTTGATGATTGATTTTCTCAATCAAGATCATCCTACACACACTTATGTTGAAGTCTGAGCTCTGTGAACACCACACTAAGCATGCAAGGATTTTCTATTTTTCCTTTCTATTAAAATATTGTTTTAATATGTCTGAGATCATTATCATATAGGAAAATGAAAATTTCTCAGACAAAACAATATCCAGAAATAATAGTGTGATGAATGTGTATTTGTTGTATTGGGTAGAATCCAGGACTCTTTTTTTCAGTTTCGTAGAGATCCACAAGTCCAGTTTTGCTACTGTCTCGGTGGATTGTATCAACCACATGACTCCAAAGTGACCATAAGAGTTTCTGTATCATAAGTTTCAACATGTTTTGTGTAACTTCATGAAATTTTTCAAACTTTTAGTAAACATTACAAGGCTTTTGTAGACAAAAATCAGAATTTTTAATTAAGTATTTTTAGTAAAAATTTGTCTATCTGTGAATATATAAAGTCAGTGCGTTGACTGCTCTGAGTGCAGAGGTTTTTAATTTAAGATTAAAAATATTTTTCTTCATCTGAAAATTATCAAGTTTCATTCACATGATCTCTAAAACTTTGTAAGTAAATATCAAACATTCTCTTCACTAAAACTACATTGTGTTATTTTCTCTATCTTAACTCTCTACACATTCGATCTATTTGACCAAACTCGTAACACCATAAGATAAATGTGAAATAAAGTGAGTAGTATTGTTCTGTCCTTTTAAGTTTTGACCATGGAGTTCTAGCATACTTCTCCTGAGAGTTTCTTCTTATAACCTTTTCACATGTGTGGTGCAATAAGCTGAGATTCCCACAGAGTTTATCACAATCCTGGCTCCGAGAACACAGTATGAGAGGCTTTATCGGCTTGTTTACAGTAGACTGGTTGTAAGGAGAATTGTCTAAAGTAAATAAAAGTGCAAGAAAATGTCTATGATATGGTTCTGTATAAAGGTCAGGCCAGTTCAATAAAGTTGGTAGGTATTTGGATGCTAGTTATCTTCTGGAGTGGTTGGAATTTAGTGGTCTAGGTGTAAAAGGTGTGTAAATACTTATGACAATAACTGATCTTAAGGTATGGTCCAGTCTCCTAGAATGTAAGGAAGGGCAAAAACACTTGATTGAAGGAGGCTCTTTTTGTCTGAAGATTTCCTGCTGAGAATGCTCATTTTGAATTTCAGTTCCCAATCAAGTGTTTGGGCCCTTCCTTACATTCTAGGAGACTGGACCATACCTTGAGATCAGTTAATTGTTCCCTTGCTGATTTTTTCTCATAATGAGATATGAACCCTGGTTCTATGAGTTATTAGATATTTAGAAATATTCCTGCCTGTGCTCTTAACCTCTCAGCCACAAGTCCCACCAGAATTTAGAGGAATTTTATGCCTTATAACTACTGTCCAGTTTTCTTCATTTCCTTTTTCCCATATTCAACATGAGACTTTTCCTGTAGCCTCTGCCAATTCTTTGAGAGTCGTTGATCTCATCTGACTTGGAAGTCTGAGCTGTTCCAATAAGCTTTATACAGATGCATCGTGTAACCTTCTTATTCTCACTTCCATAGTGAACAGTTTTATACCGAAGCCCTGGCTCCAGATTTCCTTCATGAGTCCGTTATATTTCACTAGCTGATACTTAGGACTTTCACTCATTCTTGACTCATAGAGTGCTCTCAGCTCTATTACGGCTATTGTCCTGCTGCTGTCAGAGGAGAGGATCAAGTCAGGTCTTTGTGCAGTTCTAGCAATCACTTCTGGATCTTCTCTCATATCTCCAAGATCAACTACTATCTCTCAATCATTTGCAATGTCAATTATTCCACTTGTTGTCAATGTCTGGTGCCTTCTCTGAGAAAGTAAACTGTCTGTTTTGTAGTTGCCTTCTTTCTGTTGGCTGTATGCCATATGATGTCCACTGCTGCATCTGCTAGCTTTTGAGCACCTGGTTATGTCTCCATATATATCTACCTCTTATCAAAGCTTTTTTACAGGCTGATGACACATGATCTAGAGTCTTTATGCCTCTACATAGACTTTGGATCATTTGATTGCTTCCATTTCACCAAGTTTGCACCTTTTGGTAACTGGTTGTAGATGACTGGATAGTAATATGTCACTTCCATGATATAGATCTTTGCAAGGCATCTTCCCACGTGTTCTATTGACCTTGTTGTCTTTGTTGTGAACTGTTGTCTTAGCTCTTTTAGCATCTTCTTGCCTGATCTCTCCTATCACCCTGTCATGTCTCTTTGGTAGAAGCCTTTGATCACCAAGTCTGCTTTTTTTCCAAATCCTAACCTTTGATGGTTTCTCTGAGTAGGACCTATCATCTCTTTCAACTTCAGATCCTCTTCTGCCTCATTAGCTGCCTCCTGAACTTTCCACATCCTTCCTGTTTCCAGATTCAGAAGGGCTGCTATCATACAGGAAGCATCATAGTCTTTGAGCATCATTAGAAGTCTGGTCTTTCTGGTCTTATACTTTTCCTCCAGTGATTTCAATGGAAGTCTAAGCTTTGCTTCTCTGTAGTAGAGAGTAACTGTGCCAAGACCTAGAAGCAAGCCTGGCCACTTCCTAGTGAAGCAGTTAATCTTTCTTTCCATGCTCTCATCTGTTCTGAGGCTGATCTCATAGATAAGCAATGGCCAGAGGAGTTTGGGAATTAGCATAAACTGCAGAATCCAAAAATTGAATGTTCCCTGCAGATTTGTCTTATTTATTATCTTCAACCCTACTTTGTCTTCTTCCTGTATTTTAGTAGATTGCTACGTGTCTTTAAATGAGTAGTCATGCCACCTCCCCAAGCTATTGACAGGTCACTTCGGTACTGTTGGGATAACTTAACCAGCCACAGAGAATGTCACTTTCTTCTCAAAATTTTTGCTTTCTTCAGTGACAAACTTCATGAAATTCTGCATGGTCAGGACAAACAGGATGGGAGAGATTGTACAACCAATTGCAATGCCAACTTGGAGTTGAATCAATGCCACTGTAATATCTCGGTTGTAACTTGCATCTTGAAGTTGCTGAAATAACACTTCAATATATGTATCATGGGCTCAGGAACATGGTGCATTTACAGTGCTTTCCATATCATGCTGCAGAGCACTAACCCATAGGTAGATCTAACCAGATGATGGGAAAGTCCATCTTCTTGGTTTTTGTATGCTGAATTGTTTCCATTTCATGTATATATATATATATTATTACTATTTACTCATAAATGCTTGATTTTTAATTATTTTTCTTAAAACATAGGACAATAAATAAAAAAATATACAGAAAAACAATTATTTGTAGTACTTTACAATGTTAAGAAATTGACTTGCACTCACATGTCATGTGTGCTAAGCCTCATTTAATCTCTCAAGTGGAAGGGGAATACAAATTAATTTTTGTAAATTTCGAAGATGCATCTAAAAAACAAAAAATTTATCAAATTACTGTACTGGTATGCATAAAATCTAGCTTTCTAACTAAGCTATATGTGGGTTAAAAAAATCTCATTTCTGTTAAGAGCAATGATTTAGTCAACAGATTTCAAAATTTCCAGTAAAGCTCTCGTTTTCCCATTCAAGCCAATTACAAATGACTGTTAGATTTATGTAGTTTGGAATGTGCTCTTTCTATTGGCTATAAACAGTACCTAAGAGGAGTAGGCAAGAGGTTTCAAAGAATATAGTGGGGGGGTGCTACTCTGGTAGGTTTGCTAAATATATTGCTATATCACCAGATCAAAAAGTTGGGAGGATCTTATTTTATATTCGAGCTTCTAATTGTCTGAAATTTAAGTTTCTTGTTCATTAGCCACTATAGATGTTGTATGGTTGACGTAATACAATATAAACTGACAAATAAGGGAAGAGGACATGCAATGTGACACACAAAAAAACTATATTCAGCATTTTATTTTGTATATTTTATTTTGAATTAAGAAATTAAAACATATCTCATATTAAAACTTGAATTATAGACTATGTTTTGATGCCAATTTTATTGACAAGTTGATAATAAAATTGTTTAAATTTTGAAAATAACTAATGTCATGACATTTGCCCTTTGACCTGTAGTAGTGGGTTAAACAGATACCAAACTTGGATGCTACCTCACTGGCATTTACTGGTTCAAAAATTCTCAAACATTGTTGCATCAGGCCAAAGTTATTCACTTGCAGGTTGTGCAGTTTTGGGGTTTTTGCAAATTTAGTCTTTTCTCTTTGTTGCTTTTCCATAAAAAACAAAACAAAAATTTTTCTTACTGCAATGCACATTTTTAACCTTTCTTGACACAATTTTCATCACACGATGGAAGGATGAACTTCAACATTGGTGGTTCTTGAAGTTAGCAACAAGGCCTGCTAGGTTTTTGTCTGTCTTTGAGTGGACTAAGTCTGAGGTCTTAGATGGTCTTCCAGACCTGCTTTTGTCATCAATTGTATCAATTTCATTGGATGTTTTGATTATTTTTGCACTCTAGCTTCTGATAGTTTTGTTTTTCAGAAATTTCAAACTGACTTTAACCCTCTGTATAAAACTATTATGCTTTGTCTTACTTCATCAGAAACTGTACATCTTGGGGAGATATTTCATATTTCAAAGCAAAAACATATTGGAGCCACAGACTAAAGAAAATTTTATCTACTTTTACAAAAGCAAATAATAACTCTAACAACCAAGAATAAATGTTTTTTGATACTTTCGCAATAGGAAGTTAATAAATGTGCTGAATGTTATTTGATGTTGGATGATAGTTATAATAGTCACAACATCTATTGTCATTTTTGACTTCTTACATCTTATTTTTTAGAATTAATTTAAACTAAATACATGATTAGAAAGGTGTTTAAATAAATAAGGGTCTTAGATTGACATTATTACTATATTTCATTCTGGACAGGAGACTGAATGAAGGTCTTTAATTTATGGAGGTCAAATGTCAAGGTCACACAGAAGATCAAGTGCATCACTCAAAGTTCTCACCTAATTTTGATCAAATGTAGCATAAAGATTGTCTTCCAAAGAGAAATTGATTAAATTTTTGTAAATATAGCTCATAGGTCACGGTCACACTGAAGATCAAATACTTTCATAATAATGGTAGCAAATTCGGGTTTTGAAAAAAATGGTCTAAACTCAAGAACAAATTGAAGAAGAAAGAGGATCTTAACATCTACACCTACATGTATGATGATGAGAAATCTTTTATTATATATTATGTTAGATTTGTTACTGTGAAAAACATTATGGGGTGTGGGTTGCACTCTTCTAGTACCTTTCTAGTTTATGACTTCGATATATCGTTTAAATAAAAACACTGTGGTACACATAAAAATAACTACTGATTGAGCTCAATTAATCTGTTAATGACAGATCTTGATATTTTACATGTCTACTAATAGCATTTTTATAACAACAATAGGCATACAGTGCACAGTGTAATTAAAGGATAACAGGAATGGAATATATAAAATTCTAGCTGTTGCAAAATAATGCCTGTTAGTTACCTCTTCCCCATCTATCCACTGTGTGATCTGAAATGCTAATGATTGGTCAGTGATTCAACCTACACTTATAAGTGAGCATTTGGTAGAAGTAGTTTTCACATTTTTACCTTTCAATAGTATGGAGTTTTGTCCGCCATAAACAGCAAGGACAGTTTGGCAACAGTGTTGCATACTTAAAAGTTAGTGTGTTTGTATCTTTGTCCCATTCTTCTGAAGTATCTATTTCCAGGGTATATTTAATGTCTTCAGTAGCTTGATAGGACATGATGCATCTCCTAACTAAGAGTGCCCTATTGATGTTGTTGAGATTGGAGTTCTGTGAACATGCAAGTCACTGTTTGGTCTATTGTGCAAAACCAGTTTAGCATGATGACGGTAGCCATTAGGCTGAAGTCAGGCTTTGGCTTATTGCAGCACAAGGTGTTGTAGGTTGTACTGTGGCTGATACATCCAGAAATGATCATTCCTACCCACATCATATTTGTTATTTTCCTGTATAAAAATGAAGTTGAATCTGGTTCTGGTTTCTCTCTAAATGAATATACACCTGTTACCTGGCTGTAACTTAAGCAGACACCTGTTAAGTCTTGTGAAGTATGTATATCAGTGGATATCCAGCTTACAGTCAGGTCTTGTGAAGTACGTATATCAGTGGATATCTAGCTTACAGTCAGGTCTTGTGAAGTACGTATATCAGTGGATATCTAGTTTACACTCAGGTCTTGTGAAGTATGTATATCAGTGGATAATATACATACTTCACAAGACCTGACTGATTGCTAGACAGTGGATATCTAGCAATCAGTCAGGTCTTGTGAAGTATGTTTCTAATAATTTCTACATTGACATGAAAGCCAGTTGTGGCTACATAAATCTGATTGATTCTAGATATGGCAGCCTTCATTGGAGCAAGCCAGAACCAACAGGTAGTAGTTATCTACCCTGTCCAGGTTTTGGAGAAAACTATACCATTGGTTTGGAACTGGCTCTGCAATCTATTAATGTCACTTTGAGACACTTTATACCAGTAAGTAATAACCTGCTGTAATTGGCTGGTTTCTGTTTTTGTAATAGATTTCCATGTGAGTAAAAGATCTGTCTTCTTTGAGGTCGAGCCATGGTTCATGAACAGTACTTAAACTGTGAACCATTTCCAAGTGACAACTAAAACAAGGTTGTGTGAAATGAATGTATATTTACATACATATAGCATATATATATATATATATATATATCCGAGTAAAAGATCTGTCTTCTTTGAGGTCGAGCCATGGTTCATGAACAGTACTTAACTGTGAACCATTTCAAAGTGACAACTAAAACAAGATTGTGTGAAATGAATGTATATTTACATACATATAGCATAAGCTGAATAACCAAAATTTACATTCCAGATCACATGACTAATCAATAGTTGTTGTTTTTTTTTGTTATATCTATTTTGTGAATAGACTTAGAATGACCATTATTAGAATTTTGACATTGTTTGTAATGTTGCTTTTCCTTTTTCAGATCAAGGCTAATAGAATGAAATCTACAATAACAGCAGGACCACAGTCTCACATTCTCGAAGGGGTCACCTGGGAGGAGGCTAAGAACTTGCAGGTATTGGTTACAGATATCTAGAGTATTAGTTCTAACCAAAAAAAGGTATTTTGACTTAGATATCAGTCTTATTATACTATGTGTATTTCTTTAGATTTTACAATCAGCCATTGAGTATTATATATTCAATAAATATTATTGAATAAAAGCTATTTAATGTTAACATTGAATATTATATATTTAATAAATATTACTGAATAAAAGCTATTTAATGTTTTTAGTGATAATGAGTTTGAGTATAACATCAATTGATATTATTAAATGACCATTTATTGATTCAGTTGCACTGAGAATGTTGGGATGATTGATACTGTAAAGTTGAGTACGCAAAACAAGGTTAAGGTTGTGTCAGTAGAAACTTGTGGATTCATAGCCATATTCACTGACTTATATTGTTTGCTTTATTTTTAATTTGATGATAATACAGCAGTTGTCAACAGGAACACTTAATAAATAAAAGCAGGTCTAAATTCGTTAGTTTAATTCTCCTTGTTACGATCTGATTTTTCCAGCTGTCTGGGAATAGAACAGTGAGTTACTTATTGTACAAAATTGCACCCATTATTGTCAATCTGAACAGCACAAACATCTACAGGCAGGAAATACAGAATCCCATACACTTTAATAAGCACCTCTCTCACTTGTACTGCTATTTAAATCTGTTAGGAAACAGTTAAATAGCAGTACAAGTGAGAGAGGTGCTTATCTATGATTTATTGTTTGTGTCTATCATAACTTAGTAGGGTCATCACACACGTGGTGAGAGGCTTTATAAGTGAAAATTGACGGAACATCTTGTAACTTGGACAGTTCAATGGTATAGCACTGACCTTGTTAGCCAGGGGTCCAGGTTCAAGTTTTAGTCACAGTCTCTATTTTTACTTACTGGCTTTTTCACTTAAAATATTTGAATTTAATCATTACTCACTTAAGTGTAACTCCAAATATTTGATAGGGTTTTTACAGTTTTGTAATAATGATTTAAAAATAAAAGTGTCACTTAAAACATTACTTTGGAAATAAAATGACTCCATTAAAATTCAATTAAAACCAGTGAAGAATTTCTTATAAATTAATGAAAATATGAAGTTAGAAATAATCAATTTTTCACTTAAAATAAAAAAGATGATCTTTTTTAGGAACACAAACAACGGATTATTCAATCATTAGTGCAACAACTTTTTTTGGAAGTTTTGTGATAGGAAGGATTTTGAACAGAATCAACCAGTGGTGAAATTAGTTGCTTTTAAATGCAAATACTGGCAAAGTTAACTGTATGTGTTAGTTCATGTAACACACACAGTTGAACTGAGTATAGCTCACGATTGAAAAATATGATCACACCTTCACCTTTTCTGGGATAAATAAAACGGATACTGTTTTAATCATATCACCAGGTGTCAAGTAAACTTCAAGTTTCAAAATGTAAATAAAAATAATAATTCTAACTTAACATCAACATTTTTTTACTCAGAAATATTTTAGAATTGAAATTTGTCAGTTTGTCATTTATTTAGTGTAATTTATGATGCAACATATTCAAACCTGCATTTTTGCATAGCTACAAGGAATCTTTCCTGTAAACAATGAACTTATTGATTTCTTTTTGAAATTTCTTATGACCATCTCAAAGTATTTGGTAAAAAGCTGTCATCCTTCAAGAATGTAATTATCAATATTTTGTTTCTTGCATGTTTTTTCTTCTTTTTAACTAAATTTTATTAGTACAGTTTCCTGGTTCCCACATTTTTATGGCTTCATAGCTGCTGATAGAACAACTATTAATGAAACTCAGCTTCCAAAACAGTTAAGGCAACGTTTAAATACCAATAGGCTTAAAATTTGCAATGAAAAATTGTGTAAACCACAATTTCTATAAATGTTTTTTTAATCACAAATTTCAGGCCATTGGTATAAAACTTTGTCTGTAGCTATTTGAACAGCTAAGTTTTGTTACGATTTCACTGCACATTTTTTTTTTAAATCCAAATTTCACAAGTTAAGAGGAATAAGTAAAAAATAAAAGCCTACAGTTTACATGATTTTTGTCATCACATTTTAGGCCTGTTGGTTTCTAGCGCCTACCTGGCTTTTAATGTTTAAATCATAACTTTTAAATATCATTCGATAGAGCATATAATAAGCTAGTTACTTCAGTGTAAATTGATTAAAATGGTTTTAAAAGGATTTTGTAGTTTCCATGGGAAATTGACAAGACCTAACTCATGATGGAGAAGAACAAGGTAATGTAGTAGGGTGTTCAGAAGACTTTGTTGCAAAACCACAAATCAGGGAATTTTTTTCATAGTTTATTTAGATGTTCGTAAATGTGTCTTTGGATTAACTTTTTCAACATGGGTTCAGTTGATTTAACTGATCACATGACCATTTTGTTCTCATTTAAAGTCTTTATAGATTTAATACATCTAAATTTCAATTTAGTGTGTATATTTGCACAAAATTTGGCAGTCTTTCAGTTAACATTACAAGTCTTTCACATACAAAAAATCATATTTTTTAGTGAAGTATTTGTAATAAAATAAAATAAAGATTTATCCATGAATATATTGAGTATTTGATTTGAATAGTCCGTGTGCAAAGTCATTTTTATATTAAAATTAAAAATACTTTTCCTCATCTCAAAATCTCATATTTTCTGTGTAATACCTAAAACCTCCTAAATCCATTTCAAACGTTTTATTTCAATAAAACTTTATAGTTTATCTGTTATTTTCTCTACCCTATCTCCGAATGGGATCAGTCAATTTGACCGTCCTCATGATGAACAAAAAAAATCATAATAAGCCTAAATTATTGTTTTTTCTTTCAAGAATGACTTCAAATTGTTATACAAAACTATATTCGTCTATCCTTAAGTAACTCTAGGTTCATAACAGTATACATCTATTTATAATTAAATGTTATTATTTTATTGTCCTTGGAACCATGTCTAACTACAATCCACACCATTATAAGTTGTAAATCGCTTGGGGAACGTGTAGCTCACGTTATGCTAACAAATTACATTACCCACGAGCTGATTGCATGTTTGAAGAACTTGTAGAGAAATAAAAAAGCTAACTTGCATAATTAACACGTTTTCTGTGCTTTGCAGCATCTTTAAATATATTAGGTAGTACAGGAATGTGGCTCTATATTTGTATTTTGAATGTACGCTATTTATGAAACACTGTTCTATTGATTTCTCAGGATGCCAGGATTAGTAGTACTGGTGACCAAGTGATACTAGTTGGAGCTGCATCCAAGGGAATTATCCAGCGAGAATTCCAACATAATGCTATGGTTTACAAGTCTGCTTATGCTAAGAATCCATTTGACAACATCACAGATCAGGAGCTTGAAGAGTATCGTAGGATTGTAGAGAAAAAACAACGGGGAGAGCCAGGTAAGAAGTTAATATGGGAGAAACTAGTTTATGAATGATATAGAGATTTCAGAGACAACATGAGAAAGAAAGAAATGAAAAGGAATGGAGAAAGAAATAACTTGGAGAATAACTTATTAGTGAGTGAACACATTAACCCTTTCTGGCTCAGCAGTGTGATATTGTATCCCCCTGTTTTGCTTTAAAATGCTTAATCTAATTGCAGGAAATTTGGTGTACATTTTCTACATAATATCTAGCGTATGTATGGGAAAAACATTTATAACTTAATTTAGTATTTATAATATTTTAGGTTGTGAAATTTTGGGAGTTTAATCGTGAAATACTGTTTCTAAAAACATTGAAAAATTCTCCATCCTTTCATCTTAGTTTTTTGTGTGCCTAAAATCTTGTAAATGTATCCAATAGTTAATTTTTCAATAACAGTATTGTGACTGTGCTATTTTGATATAAACAGCATACTAATTTCCATGTCTGTTTATATAAGCTTTTACATACAGAGAATGTAACTGTAAAAATATGAAACAAGTAAATAAAACTGGATTTCTTTTAATATTTTATCAGAAAGTTCCATTTCATATATCTATTTAGGTCTAGCTTGTTTTATTTTCATCAGTTATTTACATTTGTTACTTATCTTTACCTATTGAAGCAGTTACTCAACCAGAAAAAAAAGTGTAAGACACTGATGAACATTAACACTTTCACAACAGGCTTGGTATAAAATACACGAGAGTGTATACACATTTGCTATAACTTTTAATTCAGTTTGTGTATCTTCAAATCTGGTAGACTTTTAGTAAACATTACAAGTCTTTTGTACACAGAAAATCAGATTTTTTAATGAAATATTTTTACTAAAGAATTGTTTGTGAATATATCGAGTCTATTTCGTTACTAGTCCAAGTGCAAAGTGATTTTCAGGTTTATCCTAAGTAGCTTTAAACTTGTAACAGTATACGTGTATTTGTACTTTTATTGTTTTATTGCTCCGTGATTGCCCTTTGAACAACTAACTACTACTACTATTCATGCCATTATAAGTTGTAAATCACTTGGGGAATGTGGAGCTCACTTTACGCTATCGAATTACATTACCCATGAGCCATTCTAAGTCCAAGTTGCTTGCATGAGTGCCTAGTGAAACATTTCTATTATATTATTATTATTATTTATTTTACCTTAACTTACCTAAAGAGATCCTTAATTTTACATTTTATTTACTTTTATTATAATAAATAAAGAATAAACATGAAAAACAAGAAATAAAGTACCTATGTCCTCTCTTTTTTTTTTTTTTGCTGTTGACTGTCGATGACACTTAACCCTACTTTTTATATTAATGGTAGTAATGCACTAAATAATTTTTATTTAATTAAATAATGCACCAAAGAACATAGAATAATAACATTAAAAAAGCAGACAATTTCTCCTAATTATCACAATTTTTCTGGCTTTCTAACTGTACGATAAGAGCCGTTACAAATTCATCCAATCTAGTTGTTACATTTCCTGTGGGAATGAAGTTGTACTAACTGAGAAATTGACAATTCTATTTTCAGAAAACAATAATATAATATGTCATTTGATAGATGAAAACCTTGGTTTTCTATTAGTTATAGATAATATAGAATTAAACGTAAGATAATTTAGTGTCATCGATGAAAAATAGTAAGAATATACAAATTTATTTATATTTACACTTGTTAGTTTTAGCTTCTCTTATGTGGTAATTTAAAAATGTTCTTTAATTAGTAAAGTTTGTAGATTTTCAAAAGCAGGATTCCCTCTCCAGGACATTTTTCAACTAAGGTTCAATCTTATGTTTAAATTTTAAACAAGTTTTCCTGCTAGTGATAAATTTGGGCTAGTTTCTGAATGGCTTAATGAGCATTCTTTCTGCATAAAGAAATAATAATCACAGTCATGATCTTTGTCTTTTATGACTGACTTTGTATGTTTCAGTGGAAGAGGAAGTACCGGAAGAAATAAAGCATCTGTTGGTAGAACCTATTGCCATACCAGAACAGCAACAGCAACAACCGGTAGTAACTACTCCTGCAGATTCACGATCACCACCCCATTCTCCAACATCCCCAGTTTCTGAAGATGAAGGTTGGTTTTTGTCATGTGCTTCGAAACAGAAAACTAAAACATAACTGTCTGTATAACATATATCACATTTCAGTTAAACCTTTTTTTATGGTGTGTAGGGATATATAATACAAATACCATTTTATTTGTATTGATACGTATATTTTCCATGATCTACTGCCTAAAAAAGTACTGATGGTATACAACTGCACCACTGATGGCAAAGGTGCTATATTCAGTTATTCTTTTTATTTTGTTGCTAAATGATATTTAAATTGGCTTCTTTGAAATTTGCACCTTGCACAGTTTATTTTCATAGAAAGTTTCACTTTATTTTATAACCTTTGTTAATATTTATCCTTGGTTTCTGCTAATTTAGGCACTCGCAGAGTCGGTACAGATACCACCCAAAAATATTCTCAGCAGAAAACACCTGAGCCGCAGATAATCGTCACTGACGGTCAGTGGTAGCATTAGTTGCTGCCGTGATGTGTGCTTTGTGTTGTTTGGTGTGGTACTGACTCAGCTACTTGTGTGTTGGTAGTGAAAAAAAAACACTGTGATGTGCTTTCTTATATATCTTATAAAAAGTAATGCATGAGCTTAAGTAAACCTTCAGCTTAAAAAAATTAATGTGAGGCATTCAGTTTAGTTTTGCTAGCTTTGAATAACAGATAAAGTCAGTGTACTTTTAACTTAATTAAGTCATTTAGATATGCTACAGCAAAATGGTGCCTCTTTTAAAAACCATAAGTGTTAATTGAAGTTATTTTAAAATTAGTCTATAAAAATCTGTAACAGTATTTGTAAGTAAAGCAATAATAATAATATTGTAATGTTGTGTAACATTCAGCTGCTCTGACAACTAGTATATATATACGTATGTTGGTTTACTTGGAGAAGTAAATCAGTAATACTTGATTTTGTGTATAAATTCAACAGAGAACAAACATAATAAAGAAAATTATAATAATGTGGAATAATCATTATTATAAATGTTTAGTCCATTCAATATCTTTTACAGTTTGGAAACTAGGTTTAGAATTATAATTACTCTGATTAATGTTTACTCCTTAAACTGCTGTAGGTTTATGATTACTCTGATTAATGTTTACTCCTAAACTGCTGTAGGTTTATGATTACTCTGATTAATGTTTACTTCCTAAACTGCTGTAGGTTTATGATTACTCTGTTTAATGTTTACTTCCTAAGCTG